TAAGTGACTCGACCCACCAATCTCTGCTTTCAACTGAAATATGACTTGAGATTTAATTGCCCCTTACAATGCACAGGTTGTACTAGACACTGCAAAGGTTATAATTTCATGTCTCTATAGGTTGAACTCGGTGGACTTGTGTCTTTTTTTTCAACCTGACTAACTATGTATAAGATAGAAGATTGGAAAACAACATATGGGGTAACGTCGATGGGCCATTCCCAATTTTCTTGTTAGAAATGTAATGGTGGTATGTCCCGATATTGGTCTTGGCATAAACATTTGAAGGAATAATATATAGATGTTGAACTTAAAGGCCACTTCAACCCAGAATTGTCAGTTTATTGGTACTTTGAGTGCTCTGGTTATGGTTTGAATTTGTCACATGCTTTTGTTTGGTCTCCCTGTTGTACTCCAGAGGTGTGTAAATCGCTAGAGTTAGGTAACCTTGGTACCTAAACAGTTGCATTTTGTTTTTAGTTTGTATTTTGTGTGTATGTGTGTGGCAACCCTTGTTCCCTGGCTTGGTAAAGAGTATTTCTAGGTTTTCAAGTGTTATCCTAGACAGGTTTGCAAATATGCTCAAATCTGAAAGTGTATTCTGCACATTCTTCTCTCAGTTCTTTGTAATTAGCCAGATACATAAATATACCCAGGTTGCAGAAGACATTTCACAGGGTCACTGGGTGTTCTCTTCCTGAAGCCTGGGCTAACGTCCCTTCCCTTTGCTTTCATTATTACTATTCACATTCAGACTTGCAAGTAAGGTGATTGGTGGTCTTGTAGAACATCTCAGGCTTTCTGAATAGAAAACACAGCAAGGAGCCTATGGTGGATGTGTTTAGTGCAGTATTTCTCATTTTTTATTCAGTCACGGCACCCTTTAAAATCTTAAGGCGCCCCAGTCTGAAATGTAATGGATTTTAATGGGGAACCCCTTGCAAAAACACAAAGGGGTTCCCCATTCACGCCAGATTCCTCGGTGTCGCCCCCTTTCACGCCAGAGGCCTTGGTCCACCCCTTCACGCCACAGTCCGTCACCCTACCCCCTTCACACCAGAGTCCTCGGTCCTCCCTCCCCTCTTCATG